AATTATCATATCAAGTGTTCTCATCGAACTCTGCCTTATGAATGATTGTGAATGCTCATTTATGATGCTCCCTTGTACTTGTCCGTCTGTTTCCGCTCGTACTTTGGAATATAATTCATTGTTAAAGGACGCGGTACCAGGCCAAGTGGTGGAAGCTCAAGTGACAGACATTCATCCCCGTGGCGTTCAAGTGGCATTGAATGATTTTGTGAAAGGGTTTATTCCTGCAGAACATGCTGCTGATAAAAAAGTTGCTCTAGAGAAGGCATTTACAGTTGGTGAGAGTTTTCAACTTATTGATATATAATTTTTATGTGATCATATAACTTTAGTTTTTTTTTATTTCCAGTGTTTGACTGTGAGAGTACCAAATTCTGATTTTAAATTTAAAGGTAAATCTGTCAAATGTCGTGTGTGGTTCGTAAATGAGGCCAATCAGCAAGTGTGGCTTACGGCCCGCCCATCTCTTGTGAACTACAAGGTAAATTTTCATATTTCGTTCATTCCTATCTACAATCATTGTTTGGAAACACGCTACTCTTCCTTCGCTACATTTTTTTATTCTTGTCAAGTAGTGAAATAGCGACGTAACAGGATTCTGTCTTACAGCACTGGTACAACCATACAGGCCTCCTTTTCATTTAATCATTATATTTTCCCGGAGTTAAAAGTGTTTATATTTTTCGGCTTCGAGTATTCTGTCCACGTTGAATGATACCCCGCATTCATAATTTTCCTTCTGGTATGGTGCCAATTTGTCTTCGGATGTGTTTGCCACTTGTGCTGTATATTATTGCATTACTGTAGTTGCTGGAACAGTACCTATCAGGTTCACTTCCACGTGATGGTTGGTTTGGTTCGCTAGGGTAGAAAGCGACTTTTTCGCGTTCTGCTGCCACAATACACTAACCAGGGAAGGCATTCAACTTCCCATGGAACTTTGAATTGAGACCCAGATATATCGATAGAGCTTCAAACGCTGATTACAAATATGGAAACTAAAACTGCAAAATGAACCTGCCAAGGAAGTTGTGAGCAGTCAAAGTTGGCTGGAAGTAAAGCGTTACGTACAACCGTGCTAGCCTCCGGCTTTCAAAGTCGCCGTGGAGTAGTGGTAGTGCTCTCGAAATTTGCACTCCAACGGGAAGAGAACTTATGACCTCCCGGGTGAAGAGCGAGGGCACTACCACTACTCCGCGGCGACTCTGAAAGCCTGGCCAGCACGGTTCATATGCAACGCTTTACTTTAGCCAACTTTGACTGCTCACAACTTCCTTGGCAGGTTCATTTTGCAGTTTTAGTTTCCATATTTGTAATCAGCGTTTGAAGCTCTATCGATATATCTGGGTCTCAATTCAAAGTTCCATGGGAAGTTGAATGCCTTCCCTGGTGAGTCCACTCATGAATGGTGGACTTGGGTTCCCGCAGCGAAAACGAATCTGCACAGCAAAAGTGGGAAAATCCCTCTCTGTAGGCGCATGCATAGTCGGTCATCCGATCGTAACGATCGCGAAATATTTTCGCTGCAAGAAGTTCAGGTCCACCGCTGATCACCTGGGGCGGTATTCAATCCTTCCCCCAGGGGATGCGTCCCCCTCTGATTCAATCCTCTGGGGGGCGAGCAAAAAAGGGCTGCGTCTTAGGACCGCCTCTGTTTTCGGATCTCTCTACCACTCTCCGCGCTCACATTATCTCTCATCTCCCTGCTGTCTTTTGAACTTCTCCACAGCATGGAGCAAAATGCTCGTATTTCCTGTGTATTTCAGGATTTTCTTTCCTTTTTTCTCCACTGGCGGTCCACCTCCCATCCCTACTTTCACATTTGAGTGGAATCAACCCATCAATATAATCCTGATTCCTTGCCTTTAAGGGAGACGTAATAAACAGATACGATCCAAAGGATGAAGGAGTCGTCAGCGTTGGAGTTGTGTTAAAACTTTTGGAGACGGGCGGTGCGATTTTGCAGTTTTTCGGTACAGTGCGAGGGCTCCTCGTCGCTAGTGAGGCGAAAAGAGTCGGTACCGAAATCAGGTACGTAGCATGCTTTGCCACACCCGATTATTTTTTTTACTATTTAAAAGATTTTGTGTCACCTCATTATAACTGGCAGTCGTTTCAAGGCCAGGGCAAGTGCTTGAAGTTCGTGTCACATCAGTCAACGTTGCCGAAAACAGGATCACATTGGCGTTAGCTGACGAAGGAGCTGGTTGTGCCGAATATGTTGTTAACCCCAAGGTAAAGTGATTTCTACTTTTACTTGCCTTGTAGTAGTTGATTTTTTAATTGTTCCTGAATATTCTATTATTTCCAGGGAATTGATTTCTCATTTGATGAAAATGTCCTGACTGCTGTTGTTGATGACGTTGTGGAATCTACGATAAGTGGCCATAGATCTGAAAAAGCAACGCTTCATCTCGATTCAGTGAGTGCATTCGACATAACATGTTTAGCCTATGGAAATCTATTTGTTTCAGAAGTCCTCCATCAAAGGTCACCTCGTATCGAATCTTGTTTCTGATTCGCTTGATCCTCCTTTCGAATCCATGAAAACAACGTTTCGGACTGGGATGAAGCTGAAGGTCGCCTCACTTGGGTCCCTCGGAGGTGTCAACAGAGTACGTTACTTTGCCTGAGAACTTCTCAGGTAGTTTTGCGTGAAGCCTTTTTGCCTTCCTATATCTCCTACAGAGGCTCTATAGTGCTATTCGAGTGCCTCATCTTTTTGAATCGTTTCATGTAATATTGTATTGCAGTTCACCGCCAAGCGTTTTGTGTGCGAGTGGCTTAAAAACTTCGAAGAGAATGTTCCGAAATCCTTTGGTGATTTGAAACAAGGACAGGTATTTTTTTTTGAATTTCGGCTTATGTTATGTTCACACATTTAAAACTTGCGAGAGTGTCCGTAATAAGATCGTAGTTATTTTATAGGTTATACAATATAAAAAATGTAAGGTACCGTGCAACCGAAAGCAGAGCTGTTGGTCTTCGATCTCGTCAATATTTCCTACTCTCTTGTTTAAAGGAATCCTTCCACGGAAAAAGCTCCGCCCTCATTACCACAGAAAACGATACCTTAAAGGAATCTTCCACGGAAAGAGTGATCATTTTGTCTTGTGTGTAGGATTAGTATTATCGAAACTAACGCTTATGTTCCGTTCTTTTTGCTATGCTCATGAGGCTAGGGGCCTAAGGGGTATCGTTTTTCTGTGGTAATGGAGGCGGAGCTTTTTCCGCGGAAGATTCCTTTAGGCTCAAATTTTCTAGGTCTGCAAAAGCCTCATTTTTGAAACACACAATACGAACAAGTACCTACTGAAACCGAGCATGAAACATCCATCCTAGTTGCTATAACCCGCTTCATCTGTATGTCATAGTATCTATCGAATTCTCTAATTCCTGGCGATGTCTTTAGAGAGTGTTAGTGTGTGATGGATGGGTCACGTCTGAGGAGTACAAAACATGTATGCATGATGCAACCGCGCAAAGAGTGGGCGTGGTGTGCATCGCAATGAGCAGTACTGACGACGACAGTTTCATTGTTTCCAAAACGGCCTAGAAGCCATTGTTAATAGGGTGAAGGTATGTATCGGTGGGCCAGATCGAGTTGGAAAACCCGTTCCGATGAGCGGGACGTACCTGAGCAAGCAGTGCTTATGGAAAAATTCATAACTCGGTCAAGAGAAGCCTACACACACTACAGCCTAGTAAAAAAAGATACAAGGAACAAGTCTAAGGTGCTCAGCACACATCCCGTGAGCGAATGACCACCCACAATGGCTCGAGCGCGTCCTTGAAGCAATAAACCCAAATCGAATTGCTGGGGTAAAAGCAGTAATGTAATGGAATTCTCGATGCCGCGCTCATTGAAAATGAAGCGAATTAAAGAAAACTGCCGATGAAGCCCTCAAACAAGGACCCCCTTTTCCCGCTTGATGTAAGGAGAGGGTGTGGCCGGACGAGTTGCTCGAACTAGCTTACTCCGCTGGCCTTTATTTTGGCTCCACAAAACACGCGGCTGCAGTCGCTTGTGCACCAATGTGAAAGAGCGAAGAAAAGCGGTGGTTGAACGATCTAAGCAATTAAAACCAATCACAAAGGCAGAATTGCTTGCAACGTGTTCACAGTCTGCACGCAATCGCGCAGGGACCAGTTTCGCAATTTTGTAAGGACCGCACAGCTTTTCACGCGGTCTCCACGGCTAACATGTGGGTGAATTCCACGAAGTCATATTGATACAACTTTCTCACAGCGGATTTTTGCTTCAGCGACACTTCGTATGTTTTCGACTAGGACTCACGCATCTTTTATTTTCATGAGTAAGGATCCGCATTCAGGGTTGTTGCTTTAAGTGGACAGCATTTCCTATGAGCTAGATGGAAGGGAGTTTGAGTGTTAACAGTTGAGGTGGCAAGCACGACAGTGGGTAAAATTTGCTAGCAAACTTATAGCTCGGTTTCAAGAAGTTCCTGGAGATCGGAAAAAGTTTCGGGATGGCAAAGAGGGAAAATCCAAAATCGCCATATGGTCCAGAGATAGCACGAAGGCAGAGAAGAAAGGATCTTTGCGCGGTCAAAACAAACTTTATAGTATGAGTTGCACAACAAGTGTTTCTCGTTCCAAATCCTTTTTTATCTTAGTTTGTTTGACTCCATCCATAATAGTTTTACTTGCACACCGCTTCTTCTAGTTTAGTGCTTTTTCGTGATTTCAGCTTGTTTGTGGCGTGATCTCCCAGCGTGTGCCTGATGTTTGCCTGTACATCGAATTAGTCGGCGGATGTGGACTCCTCGGTAAAGTGGCATTTGCGGACATTGACGGAGGTATGCCACATCGTTTAAGATTTCATGATCCTAGCCCTACGCGCGTGTCCATTCTCTCTTCTGAAAATACAAGTCTAGTGCAGACCACGCACCACAAGTGACGACGGCCTCCACAAAATGTAAATGTTTTCTGCCAATGAAATGATTAGCCTGTTGCAGTTGTATTCTATCAGTTGTCACTAATTACAACTATCATTTACCAACTATCAGCTATCACTATGAACCACTAGTAACCAGATTTACTTGGAGGCCGTCGTCACTTGTGGTGTGTGGTCTGCACTCGACGCGCATCTGGTCGTCGGAAGCAGAGGGTATCTAGAAGCTTAAAAATCAGTTTCATTCAAATGGGTAATCTTTTTCCGCTCTTTTCTTTTCACTTCCATGTCCCTTGTTTCCTAACTCCTAACTGTATCCCTCCATATGCCTTGATCATATTTTTGCTCTAGTACGATTCCACATTGTCTCTCACTATAACTCATTGACTGCTTGAAAATTGATGCTACCAGTTGATTCAGTCAAACTTTTTCCTTTTAAGTTGTTAACAACGACGGCAAATAATCAAAAGTTGTGACACGTATGTGAAGACTGAGTAAAGTTAACAAAACACCGTCAGAATAGGAGGAGCTCGCAGAAATGGAGCGGAAAGCGTCGCGTATCCTCCTCGCACCCATATCTGCGAGCGATTCACCAGCGAATTTCGTCTCTGATTCGCTGGACCGTCGCTTGTACATTCGCACTAGTAGCGAAGCGCCTAGTTGCTAGTGAATAAACGGATTTTTAAATTGTGACACCGGCTTGCCAATCGCGATTCTGCGCACTCATCAATGATACAAGCTGTGAAAGCTGCTCCGCCTCGTGGTGCATGCGGCACATCTCGCGGTTCTGCGAGCCATAATGTCAGCATCGCTCCGGTTACTGATCACATCTTCATTTTGTCCTGTAATTTAGGCAAGGATGGAGCAACTGGTTTACAAATTGGACAGACAGTGCTAGGACGTATACGTAAAATAAATGCTGAGAAGAAAACCTTCCGTATTACCTTGAAAGTAAGCAGTTCTTCTGCATTTGGTGGAGCTTCCGGCATGAAACAAGTTTTGTCAATACCTATGGTTACAGCTGGCTGATTGTGTGCCCGATCAGAACCTGCCTATAGAAGCTCCATCACCGTCATCTTCTCTCGCCATGCAACTGTTGCGCTCATCAGTCGAAGAACTGATTGCGTTTGCAGAGCATTCCACGACAAAATTGCCATCTCCTGGTCGGAGCATGATTCTTGCAAATACCTTATGTATTCTGAAATTCGTGGCTTCGTTGTTTTAGGCACGACTGTTGCTGCAACCGTATCTCAGGTTGTCGATGACGTACTTTTCGTGACGTTTGGTGGAAAGTTAACTGGATGTGTTCGTAATGGCAACTACACCAAGGGTGTTAAGGTTGCTGCCATGAACTTTAGAATATTGCTTCTGTCTTCCAGTTTTTTTTTCGATTAACAGTTTTCATTTGAAGATTGGAGATAAAATCAAGTGCCTTGTCATCGATTACGTTTTTCCACGTAACGATGCAGAATTGGTTATGGTAGATTCAATTAATGCCGTGCCATCCAAGAAAAAAAGCAAAAAGGAACGAGGCTCAAAGGTAGCAATCCTCCATGTTTCTTGATCTAAAGTTTTTTTTAAACCTATGATTCAAGGAAGCTGCATCTGCAGATCGAGTGGTTTTGGTCAAAAGGGACTACATAGTTGTGCTGCAGCAGAAGGAGCGTTTAGTATTCGCTCCATCGAGATTTCATCCCAACCAAACTGTCGAGATTAAGAATGGTAATTTTTGTTCTTCCTCACTTCATTCTGTTCATTGTTCAAGTTGGGCCAGAATGTTTTTTTTTCGTTAGGTATTGGTTTTGCCCAAAACAGAAACACTTTTCCACATTTCCACACATTTCGACTACATTCTTTGTCGGGATGAGTTGTGTTGCGGTCGTTACCACAGCCACATCCAGCATCCTACTAGGTGGTGTCGCAAGTATTATAAAAATCATGTCGGATTAGGATGCTGCTACGACCTTTGTCAGGGTCAATACGTGGCGCATCCTACAAGCAGATTGATCAGTGCCAAGTGCTTCACTCTTTATGCTTTTGATAAAGTCAACAGTAATTTCTAGTACGCGTGGCTTACGGTGATGAGGTGAAAGTTCGGAACTCTATTCAAATAGCGAGTGGCGCATGTCTTGGCCTCTTGGAAGGTGATGAAGAACTGATAGCAAAGCTGCTCACAGCAAGCGCAAACGTGTCTAAGTCGTTTACAGGTCAGTTTCAAACATTTCGCTTTGCGTAGTGGCATATTTTCGTGGAGATGGCTTATTCTTACCAGTTAGGAAAAGCTTATTTCCGGGTATTTTATGTCGGCGGGGCAGTTTCAGACGTTTTCTTTTTAGTGGTCCAGCCGTATTTTTTACCATAGTAATGTGAGTAACATTCAATTATTTATTTGTGGTTAAGGAAAGAATTCTAACGAGCGTGTGGACAGAAATGTCGAACATCCTCGAAAGTCAAAATCCGAACTGGTACGTATACCATTTGATTTGTTTGCTTTGGGCAGTAGCACGTGAAAACTACTCTCGTTTGTGGTAAACTACTCACAAAATATTTTCCTAGGGCATCCGGACAAAAAGTGTTAAAAATCTTGGGACGTACACAGGTACTGTGTTGGGTCCATGGACCAGTGATGATCGAAGTGATCATGGAAAGCTTGCTGCTCTTGTTGAATTACCTGGTGGAAATATAGGTAATTTGCTTATTTTTGCTTTATTTTCCCAAGAAAAAATTATTTCACACGAATTCAGGTCGCCTTCATGTTTCTGAACTACCTTTGCAATTCTTGATGGGAAGTACCTGCCCACTCAAAGACTTTATCAAGCGAAATTACAAAAAGGCAGTAGTTGTGAAGATTATAAACTTCTTCTCTGTCAAAAGGGGCGAATCGAAGGTGTGTTCCTTGCTCTTTCTTCTTAACTCAAGAATTCTTTCAGGCACATTTCTTCCACACTTTTCAAACCCTCTTTTCTTTCTCAGATTCGAGTCGCCGAATTGACGATGGCTAGCTTGAAGATGTCTGATGCTCGGAAAAAAGCATCGGTATTTGCCTTCCAGACAGATTTCAAGGTAGTTACTTGTTTTCTTTTATCGAACTGGGCAATTTCCTTGTCGTAATTCTTGTTGATTATTTCTAGCCTGGTGAAGTCGTCCGCTGTTTTGTAATTCCCAATCAAGAGATGACGAGCAAAAATATACGTGTGGAGGTTAATCCTTTTTGCTCTGGTCAAATAGCATACGAAGCTGTTAGCGATGATTTAAAGGTATTTCTTTTATTCTCAAGAATCTGATAAAGGCTTATTTGTCATGAAATTATTAACTCCTTAAAATCTTTTTCGAATGTGTTCACCCGTCGAGTGCCAATGCTCATCAAATATTTAACGTCGGTTTCAAACAACCCAACGCCAGTGATTCATACCGTGACGCTAGAAAGTGCTCTCTGGGAAGAAGTTATTGCGACTGTACCAAGGAATCGAAGTGGACCAGAACTTAAATCCAGCCATCAGCATTTAGCCATCCGCCGCTAGCATCTGGCACTTCCTTATCGATCTCGATTCCGATTGATAAGCATTGTAAGAA